ATCACGTTTCAAGCATTGCTGAACTCTCGCCTAGTCAATCGTAAGTCTCAAGGAAGTCCAAGGCCGCCCAAGAGGCCCCCATGTTGGCATAAACGGCCCCCCAAAGGACTCTAAGACTGCACCAAGGCGGCTCAAGAGGGCCCCCAAAGGGACCCTAAAGGTCCGCAAGTGACCAGAGAGGCCCTCAGGATGGCACCCGAAGGCGCCAGATGGCTCCAAAGCGCCCTACTCCTCCTCTTCCTCCTCCTCCTCTGCCTCCGCCTCCTCATCCTCCTCCTCCTCCTCCTTCGCCTCCTCCTCCTCCTCCTCCTCCTCCTCCTCTTCCTGGGAGGGCCCCAGCAGGCCCCTCAAGAAGGACTGGAAAGAGATCCGATACGGCCCCAGAGGGTCCTTCCCCTGCAGTCCCCCAATGGCTGGTGGAACACGCAGGTCCACTAGCGTGGCCGCACTTTCGCTCGACCTTTCAAGACACAGGCGCTTCCAAAAGGTACGGGGCGGCGGTGACTTGCCCGAATGCGTCTTCGGTAATGTGCACGTCCAAATCAGATGACACGTAGAGATGTGCAGATCCGCGGGCCCCATCCGGGGGCGCAAGGCTGCGAAGGTGTGTGCAGTCTGCTGTCATGTGATGTGTCGTTTGTTGTTTGCCTGCTGTCTCTCCAGTCCTGTCTCCTGCCTCATGCTTACTGTCTGCTCGGGGGGCCCGCCGCGCCACCAAACAGCCAACAGGGGGGGGAACCTCAAATCCTGGCTGCTCTGGGCCATCCCAGGATTTTCATGGTGACGCCACCGCGCGGCCAGAACGGCCCGAGAGGCCTCCAAGATTGTCCGAAGAGGCTCCAGAGAGAGCCTCAGGAGCCCAAGACGGCCCAACATGACCCCAAGATGTCCCACGATGGCCCCCAGACGGCCCAAATGGCCTCCAAGAGGCCTCCCAGGAGGGCCCCACGAAGCAAACATCAATTCTAACGTATTTGACAATGTTTGGCCTTCTCGCCTTTTCGGCTTTCCGACGCTCCTAGACGGACCAAGAGGTTCCCAATATCGCCACACCACGGCCCCAGAAGCTCCCCGAGACGGCTCCAAGATGGCCGAAGAGGGCCCCAAGACGGTCCAAGAGGCGCCCCAAACGGCCCGAAAAGGCCCTAAGACGGTCCCAAGAGAGGCCCAAGAGACTCCGCGAACCGAAAACTCTACCTTTCCGCCCCGAGAGGACCCCAGGAGGCTCCAAGAAGGCCACGAGAGGCCCCAAGAGGCTCCCAAGAGGCTCCCAAGAGGCCCCAAGCAGACCACCAAGAGACCCCAAATATGCCCCGAGAGGCTCTAAACAACTTCCAAGAAGCTCCAACAGTCACCCGCAGACGCTGCCGAGAAGCCTGCCACGAGAAGCACCCACGGCGCTACGTAGGCGCACGCGCTAGTAGCAGGGGGGCCGGCGGCAGAGGGCGAAGCCCTCTCTCTCTCTCTCTCTCTCTTTCTTATATATATATATATATATATATATATCGATATCGGTATATATATATATATATATGAATTTGTATATATGTATATGTATTTGTGTATATATATACATATATATATATATAGATACATATGTGTATATATATATATGTATATATACCAAATTCATATACATATACATATACATATACATATACACACATATACATAGCGCTTCGCGCGCGCTTAGGTTCTAGCTTCTAGCTGGTCGAATGCTGACCGCATTGAGACAACAAAGCGGTCATGAATAATGAGGTCAACACTCTCTGCTTCCTCCTGCCTCTTCCTCATTCCTCCTCCTCCGCTCTCATCGACCGGTCGACCGGTGATCTGTCGCCAAGCTTCTTGGGGACCTCTTGACCCCTCCTGGGGGTCTCCTGGGGCGAAGATCTCGGGTTCTCGGTTCACGTTGTCACCGTGCCTGGGTTGTGGATTAGAGGCCTCTCGGAAATTCGTGTGGAATTCGTGGGAGGCTTCCCGGGGGCCTCTTGCAGGCAGTTTTGGAGGCCTCTTGGGAGCCGTTTGGAGTGCTCGTGGGGCGTATTTTTAGGCCTCTCTGGGGCCTCGTGGGGCCTCTAGGGGGCCTCTTGGGCTCTGTTGGGGACCTCTTGGGGCCTCCTGGAGGCCTCTTGGGGCGGAAGGCTCGGTTCGTGTTCCCCCTCTTGGGGGCGTCTTGGGGTTCTCTTGGGCGATCTTGGGCGCCTCTTGGGCCGTCTTGGGGTACTCTTGGGCCGTCTTGGGACTCTCTTGCGCCGTTGTGGCGCCCTCTTTGGGTGCCTCACGGGCCGTCTTGAGCTGCTTTCTGGGGCTTCGTTGGCTGTCTTGGACCGTCGGAAGCACGAAACGGCGAGAGCACAAAATCCCTTCAAGAACCCTTCGAAACAACCTACTAGTTTCGCCTCCTGAGTGCCTCGTGGGAGTCCTTTTGAGGGCATCTTGGCCGTCTTGAAGCCCTCTTGGGCTGTCTTCATCAAGCCATGCTGGACCAATTTTGAAACGCTCTTGTGCGGTCTTGGGCTCTCTTGGAGCGCTCTTGGACCATCTTGGCGCCCTCTTGGACGTCTCTCGGCCGCCTTTGATGTTTTTTGGCGCCCCCCGCCGGGCCCGAAACGGCCGGAAGAAAAATCAGTGCACTTTGGGGGGCCCGGGACTCCCTACCGGACTGCACTGATTTGTCTTCCGGCCGTTTCGGACCCGGTGGGGGTGCCAGAACACGTCAAAGGAGGGGAAGGAGGGCGACGAGAGGGCCCGAGAGACGTCCAAGAGGGCGCCAAGATGGCTCAAGAGCGCTCCAAGAGAGCCCAAGACCGCACAAGAGCGTTTCAAAATTGGTCCAGCATGGCTTGATGAAGACAGCCCAAGAGGGCTTCAAGACGGCCAAGATGCCCTCAAAAGGACTCCCACGAGGCACTCAGGAGGCGAAACTAGTAGGTTGTTTCGAAGGGTTCTTGAAGGAATTTTGTGTTCTCGCTGTTTCGTGCTTCCGACGGTCCAAGACAGCCAACGAAGCCCCAGAAAGCAGCTCAAGACGGCCCATGAGGCACCCAAAGAGGGCGCCACAACGGCGCAAGAGAGTCCCAAGACGGCCCAAGAGTGCCCCAAGACGGCCCAAGAGGCGCCCAAGATCGCCCAAGAGGGCCCCAAGACGGCCCCAAGAGGGGGAACACGAACCGACAATTCGAGCCTTCCGCCCCAAGAGGCCCCCAGGAGGCCCCAAGAGGTCCCCAACAGAGCCCAAGAGGTCCCCTCGATGCCCCCAGAGGCCCCACAAGGCTCCAAAGAGGCCCGACAAGGGGCCCCAAGAGCCCCCCAAACGGCCCCCAAGAAGCCTCCAAAACATACTGGTGCATAGCACAGGACCGCCTAGCCTATCGTGGCATCGCAGTGTTGCATGACATGACATGGCACAGCACGACAGAGCTAACCGTGTCAGTGCGTATCACAGTATGGTTCAGCATGCCATAGCATTTCATTGCATTGCAGTCTCTAGCTGAGCCTAGCACTGCACATGACGTAACATTGCCTAGCATGGCATTGCATCTCATGACGCATCGTGGCGTGCTATGGCATTCGAATGCACATAAATGAATCGAACAGCCGCGTACTGCTCTGCGCAACAGGGAACAGAAATCATGCACATATCATACACCCGCTGTTGTTCTTACTGTCGTCCTGTTTATTTTAGCCTAGCAGCTCCTAACAGGGCATTGCATTTCATTGCATTGCACTGCATGGCATGCAATGCGCACTGTAGAGTATAACATGTTGTTGCATTGCATTCTGAATCGTGGCATTGCGCTTCATAGCGTAGCATGATGTACCATGACATTCCATAGCATAGTGCAACATGGCCCTGTGGCGCTGCATGTTCCTGGCCCATGGCTTGGCGACAGATCACCGGTCTACCCGTCGATGAGAGCGGAGGAGGAATGAGGAAGAGGCAGGAGGAAACAGAGAATGTTGACCTCATGATTCACGGCCGCCTTGTTGCCTCAATGCGGCCTGCACTCGATCAGCTAGAACCTAAGCGCGCGCGAAGCGCGCGCGATGGTTGTAGTACGTTTACACACACTCTACTTGTGTACTCCTGTGTATCTTTGTGTACGATATATGCAAGCGTCCACCTATACACACATGTCGGTTGATATACACCAAAAAGCGTCATAGATACGTAACAGGAGTGGGAGAGAGCTATGAGAGAGAAAGAGAGAACACAACAAACATGAGAGAGATGGGGGAGAAAGGGAGACAGCGAGGGAGAGAGAGGGAGAAAGACAGAGAGAGAGAGAGAGAAAGAGAGAGGCACACACACCCCTTGAACAAGAACCTTCCTCCATCCTTACGTGTCGGACCTTGTCGTTGGAACCCCGTCGAACGACAATCAATGATGGACACTCTGGAATCCATGTAAACATCGCACATGCATACTTCGAGCCTTTTTAACCAAAAAGGGCTTACATTCGTGATGCAAGCTTTTACCATGAATATGCGCGGCGCTGATGCTAACGTCCTCCATCCGTATAGCTGCTGCAATATTGAAGACGAATGTTCGTGGCGCTAACGCCGGATACGCATTTAGAAAACGATCCGCCCCACCCCGCCAATGCACCGAACGCAAAATTTAGGACGAATGTTCGCGGAACGAAAGCAAAAACAACTTACCGCTGCAACGCGCGGAACTCAGAAGATGACTACTTTTTCAGAACGACCCGTTAAATCCAGAGATGATCCCCATAGAGCCGGCCGGGGGGTCTGAGCTGGAAAAGCCCCGAGAAAGTCGGTCAAGAGGGCGGGACAAGGGCAAATCCAATAAAAATCGGTGCCCAGACCCCTCCCAGGGTCGAAACCGACAAGTTGTTCAGGCTGCGTCCAGCCGTGGCGATGAGGGGACCCCTTGGGGCCCCTTCCTCCCTCCTGTCTGCTGGCCGGAACCAGTGTTTGGCCACCTCAGCCCCCGGCCGGCTCCAACCCCCTCTGGCCGCCGCCGCCGTCGTCTCGTCGTCGTTCTTCGCTGCGCCTATGGCACTCGCCCAAGATCCCCGCGTCGTCGCCGCGGTCCACGTACTCGTAGAGCGCGGCCGCCTTCCCCTACTCCAGCCCCCTCTTCCTCCTCCTCCTCCTCCTCCTCCTCCTCCTCCTCCTCCTCCTCCTCCTCCTCATACAACTCCTCCTCTTTCCCCCCTCCTCCTCCTCCTCCTCCTCCACCATTCCTCCTACTGCTTCCCCTCCTCCTCCTCCTCCTCCTGCTCCTCCTCCTCCTCCTCCTTTCTTCTCCTCCTCATCGTCGTCCTCCTCCTCCTGTTCTCCTCCAGTTCCTCCAATTTCGCTGGTTCCACCTCTCCCGCGTCATCCTCATCTGTGCTCTGCGTTCCACAACGCTTCGTCCCGAGACCACAAAGATGCCCGCCCTGCGAACAAGCATCAGGAAAATGAAACCTCATTGTCCTCCTTATTCCATCCTTCCTCCCCCTCCTCCATCGTCTGCTTTGGCCCCTCCCCAGGAGATCCAACTCGTGCAAGTCCAATTATTCCTCCGCCCTAGTCCTCCTCCTCAACTATTCCTCCTCCTCCCTCCTCCGCCTCTCCTCATACCCTTTCTCCCTCCAGGTCGTCCTACCCCTGCTCCTGTTTCCCGTCTACACCCTTGTGTATATGAGTCATCTCTGTCGCACCATCCGACGTGTCGGTAGGGCGGGCCGGGCGTTTGCTTGATATTGCCTTACCACTTATGGCCTAAAGATTGAGATCCCCAGCAGCTACGAGGCTGAAGAGCGGCACCTGTTCAGAACGGAGTCTCGCCTCAACTCCGCGCGCATTCGCCTTAAAATCTTGCAGGGAGGACGGCTCTCTTTCAGAGTGGGGCGTTCGCTTGGGACTTCCTCGAAGTTATCGACCTGCATTTTGAAACGATGTATGCACCAGCTGCTGTCAGGGCCTGGAGAGGGGTGTAGGAGTGCGTTTGGCGGGCCTGTGTCTGAATCGTCGCTGACCTGGGCCGCTGGGCCGAGGTGGTGAGCCAACCGCCAAGGTTTTGTCACGGACCAGGCCAGACGTCGTCAGAGGGCATCATCGGCAACGCCTGGTACAACAGGCCTAGCGCATACAGGTTCGATGACGGATCGACAACCAAGCTTGCAAGATTGCCCAAACACACATACGATCCGCTAGCACGGCTTACGTGGATCAGGCAGCCCCGACGAAGCGCGTCGGCGCAAATGATCCACACACCAAGCACAAGCCCGACGGGCAGGCGGACGAGCGGAGGGGAGAGGGGGGAAACAGGAATGCAGGAAGTTTCGCGCATCCCCAGGAGCTCATCCAAATACGACGTTCAGGCGCGTTGATCTGACAAGGGGATCGTAATAGAGAACCTCGAGAACCCGAGAAGGACGGAGGAGGGCGCGGAGGAGGAGGACGAAGGTGGAGGCATGATGAGAAAGTGGAGGGGGAGGATGCGGGGAAGGAGGAGGAATCGGAGGACGAAGTGGGGGGAAGAGGAGAAGGTGCAGCTGGAAAGGGACGAGGATGGACGAGAAAGGAAATATTCTGACGACAACGAACGGGAGTCAACCATGAGGGCTCTTACAATTTGTTCGCTCTGGGGGCGTCTTGGAAGTCTTTCAGGGCCATCGTGGAGCGCTGTGGATACAATCTTGGATGCCTCTTGAGCCCCCTCGATGCTTTGTGAAAACAGCATTCGGGCGTTAGGGGGGCTCTGCTGGGGTCCTCTAGGAAGCCTTTGGGGGCCCTCTTCCGGTCACCTTGGAGGACATCGATCAGAAGGGGGGGGGGTCTTAATTGCGCCCCCTCCGGTCCGAGACCGACAAACCACCTCTCGGGGCGCCCTTGGGACGCTCCTTTGGCGCGTCGGGGGCCGCATTCGGCCTCTCCTGGGCCCCCTGTTGGCGCCGTCTTGGGTCACCGTGGAACCACGCTGAGACCTCGAGAGCCAATCGGAAACGGAATGGCGAGAAAACACAAAACACTAAAAACGCAATGCTTGTGCAAATTATGATGTCCTCTCGGGCCCCCCTTGGAAAAGCTCCGGGTGCCACGTGGAGTCGCCGTGGAGCGGTCTTGCGGCCTCCTGGATGCATGCTGGATCCCATCATGGGCCATCTTGGGCTACCATGCGCCATCTTGGAGATCATCCTGGGCTGCCCTTGGTGCCCGTCAAAGCCAAAGAGGAGGGAGGAGGGGGAGTGGTGAACCCCTCCCCGAATGGGAACAGGAGAGGTTCCAGCAACAAGTATGTAAAACAATCGCGCCTTCAAGGGCTGGTGGGATAAAGGGGCAAACGGGGAGGGGGAATGAACACCAGGAACAGGAGGAGAGGGGGAGGGTCAATAGGAGCGGCGCGACCCAAAATAAATGAAAGCAGGATCCGCGCCTTGCCGAACGATGTTAGATAATAATTATGCATGCGGGGAGGCAGCAACAACAAGTCGGCACCGACTGATTCTCCCTTGTGACTGGATGAGCCGCGCCAGAGATGGATGGGCAACCAGAGGGATTGTAGATCCACGGGCGGGCATTTCGAGGCGGTTGCTTGACGACCTGTCCCATGGCGCGCTGATCACCCCTATCAGCCCTCTTCCCCTCCCCTGAACTCTCCTCCTCCCCTTGTCCTCCCCAATGCGGGACATCCACCTCCCATATTCCCTCTCTCACCTCCCCTCCTTCCCTATCCCCCTCCTCCCTCGCCCCCTTCATCCGAGCTCGCCGCCTCTTCTCCCATCCCCATCCCCTTTGGGCGCGCTTGGCTTCGCCTGTGTCGTTTGGTAGCGCATTCGGATTGCAATCCCCAGTCGTGGAGGGGCAGCCATTTTGTCACGCACGCGTAAGATTTCACGCAGTTCTTGCTCATGGGCGCGGGTGGCGCGCAAAACCACTCTGGTGGTTTTGCGTGGCTTTTGGATGGCTTTGTCACTGGCCTGTTTGGGTCCGTGCCGCGCCGCGGGTGGCGCGCAAAGCCACTTCAGGTGCCGCGCAAAGCCACTCCAGTGGCTTTGCGTGGCTTTTGTCCGGCTCCGTCGCGGACCCGGCGGAGTTTGCCATCGACCTGGCCGATTTGCCTCGCATGTCTGCACAACCACAGCGCGTTGTCATTCCCACTCGTCGGAGCGTATGCGAACTCCACCAGCGCTTTCGGGCGTGAGTGGTTCAGAGGATTCGTTATTCCAACCCCCTTTTCCCATTCGGGAAGGAACGCATCCCTCCCCCCCGTTCCCCCGCCCCCCTTGGTCTGGACGAAGCGCCCCTCGAGGGGTTAGAGCGTCCAAGATTGCTCAAGATGGCTCCAGGAGGGCTGCCTCCCCACATACCCCAACATGGCGTCCAAGATGGCACATGAAGAAAACTGGCTCAGGATGGAATCCACCGTGCATCCGGGAGGCCCCAAGACCGCTCTCAGACCTCCGCGTGGCCACCGGGCCTCAAGACGGTCCTTGAGAAACGAGCATCTGTCCAAAACGTTGTGTGTTTCAATGGTGTTTGCGTTCTGTTTGTTTTTCATTTCCGATGGGCTCCTGACGCCTCAATACGGGTCCAAGGTGGCACAAGAGTGCCGCAAGAAAGGCCCAGAAGGGGCCTCGAAGCAGCAGGAGCGCCGAAAAGTGCCCCAAGAGCGCCCCGAGAGGGCCCCAACACGCGATTTGTCCGACTCCGACGGTGGAGGCGAAGATAAGAATCCCGCATTCTTTGATCGATTGCCTCCAGGGCGGCTCCAAAAGTGCCTCCAACGGCCTCAGGGGGCCCTGTGAGAGCCCGAGGAGTGCCTCGATATGGCCTCAACAGAGCCCCAAGAGGACCTGAAGGGCTTCCAAAGTGGCCTCCCGAGGGCCCCGCGATGGCCTCAAGAGGACTCCAAGATGCTCTCATGGCGAACAATCTGCAACCGCTTGGATGGCTGACTCCTGTCGTCGTCGCCGTCGGTCGTCGTTGTCATGTCCTTCCTCATCCATTATCGTTTTCTTCCGACTCCTGCTTCGCCTTCTCCCCCCGCCTCTTCCGGTTCCGCTTCCTCCTCCTCCGTCTCTTTTTGTGTTATTGTTTTTTGTTATTGTTATTCTTCCTACCTCCGTATCGTGCTCCTCTTGTTCTCCCGTGTCCGTCCTCCGCCGCGTCCAAAACCGTCCCCGTCCTCTGATGTACTGCGTGCTCCTACGACTCCCTGATCGCAGCAACTCGCCCAGGCGTCGTTTTTGAAAAGGCTGGTGGGGATACACGAAACGTCAAACCTGGGTTTGATTTTCCTACACAGTGGAGTCTTCGCGCCACGCCAATTCCGCATTCCCAACTAAAGCCACCAGAACGGAACATATAGCGATAGTGCACACGTATATATATATATATATATATATATATATATACACACACTAGAATCATCGCGAGCGCGCGCTCAGGTTCTGGCAGGCCCCAGGCCTTGACGAGTTCACTGCTCCACTGAAGTAGTGGACCACAGTCCACGCATGTCAATCCGCATTCCAGAATGCTTTCGGGAAAGATTGTTGAGCAAGGGGGCGGAGGCCAGATGACTCGGGTTCCCAAAAGGCCTTCTGGAAACAGGGGTTTGGGGGGCGTCTTGGGGAGCCTGTTGGGGCGTGCCGTCGTCGTCGTCGTCGTCGTCGTCGTCGTCGTCGCCGTCGTCGTCGTCGTCGTCGTCGTCGTAATGTTGTCGTCGCCTCTTGGGGCGCGCCGTGGTCGTCGTCGTCGCCGTCGTCGTCGTCGCCATCGTGGTCCCATTCTTCGTCGTTTCGTCGTCTTCGTCGTTGTCGTCGTCGGTTCAAGAGGGCACCTGGGGCAACTTTGTAGGAAACGATCCGCGGAGGGCCGCGAGAAGGCGATCAGTCATGGTCCCAATCAAAATCAACTTCCCAGACAACTCTCCGGTAGCGTGATGGTACTTCGGAGCCTCCGGAGACTCTCGGGCCCATGATGAATCATGTCCCTGAAGGCTTTCTGGGAACATGATTTCTTGGGGTGTGTTTGGGGGCCTCTTGGGCGTTCCCTGGGGGGCCCTTGGGGGCCTCCGGGAACTCTCGGGCCCATGATGAACCATGTGCTCAGACAGCTTTCTGGGG